ATGCCCACCAACAGTGTAGGAGTGTTCCCCTTTCGCCACATCCCCTCCAGCACTTATCATTATCTGTTTTTTATTTTTTTAATCTTCACCATTCTGACTGGGGTTAGGTGGTATCTCATTGTGGTTTTGATCTGCATCTTCCTTACTATGAGGGATGTTGAGCATCTTTGCATCTTTTCATATGTTTTTTGGCTGTTCATATGTCTTCCTTAGAGAGTTGTTTATTCAGCTCATTTTCCCATCTTTTAATTGGATTAATCATTTTCTTCCAGGTAAGCTGCTTGAGTTCCTATGTATTCTGGTTATCAGTCCCTTATCTGAGGCACAGTTAACAAAAATTCTCTTCCATTCCGAGGGTTGTTCAGTCACTCTAATTACAGTGTCCTTTGCTGTGCAGAAACTCCTTAGTCTGATGTGATCCCACCTGTCTATTTGGGGGATTATTGCCTGTGCTTTGGGGGTCTGGCTTAAGAAGTCTTTGTCTACCCCAATGTTTCCTAGAGTTTCTCCAGTATTTTCCACAAGTAGTTTTATAGTTTGTGGTCTTAGGTTTAGAGCTTTTTTCCACTTTGAGTTGATTTTTGTTAATGGTGACAGATAGGGGTTCAGATTAATCTTTCTGCAGGTGGATACCCAGTTTTTCCAGCACAATTTGCTAAAGAGGTTTCCCTTTTTCCACTGGATTGACTGCTACTCTTTGTCAAAGATGAGTTAGCTGTATGTTTTAGAGTTTGTTTCTGGAGTCTACTCTGTTCCATTGGTCCTCATGTCTATTTTTTTGTACCAATACCATGCTGTTTTGATTATCACAGCTTTGTAATATATTCTGGAGTCAGGAAGTGAGATGCTACCTACTCCAGTCTTCCTGTGCAAGATAGCTTTAGCAAAATGGGGTCTTTTATGGTCCCAGACAAATTCTGATTGTCTTTTCTAGATCTGTGAAGAATGTCTCTTGTAATTTTATAGGGATTGCATTAAATGTGTAGATTAATTTAGGTAAGATTGCCATTTTTATTATATTGATTCTGCCAATCCAGGAACATGGGATGTCTTTCCACTTTTTTTGTGCTTTTTAGTGTCCTTTTCAATATCCTTTTTAAGGTTTTCATAGTTTTCCTTGTAGAGGTTTTTTGCTTTTTAATTTTCATTTAATTCACTTTTTTCTGCCTGTCAAATATTTCCTCCCCTTCCACCACTCATCCTCCACCATCTACTCCCTACCATCCAGAATCTTATCGTCTCTAGCATTTACATCCATCCTCTCCACCACTGCATTTTCAAGTCTCTCAACCTCTGTTGTAGCACGTAGTACAAACTGAGTGGGGACATACAATATGTATCTTTCAAAGTCTGGCTCATTTCACTCAACATTGTCTCCTATATTCATCCATTTTAAGTCAAACAATGGGACCTCATTGTTATAGCGTGTAATATCCCATGGCAAGTATGTGTCACGCTTTTTCAACCCAGCCATCAGTTTCAGACTTAGGTTGATTCCATGTTTTAGCAATTGTAAATAATGCTGCAATAAATATGGATATGCAAAGTGTCTTTCAGATTGAGTGCTTTCCTATCTTTTGGGTAAACACCAAGAAGTGGGATTACTAGGTCATATGGAAGTTTTATTTGTAGGTTTTTGAGAAACTGCCTTATCTTTTTTCACAGAAGTTGAACTAATTTACATGCTCACCATCAGGGTAATAGAGTTGCCTTTTCACTACAGCCTCACCAACACTTGTCATTCCTTACTTTTTTTTTTTTTATCCTAGCCATTCGAATTGGGGTTAAATGGTATCTCATTGTGGTTTTAATTTGACTTTCCATTATGACAGGATATTTTGAACATTTTTTCATATGCCTCTTGGTCACTCCTAAATCTTCCTTGGAGAGTTGTCTCTTCAATACATTTGCCCATTTTTAAATTGGGTTATTCTTTTTTTTTTTTTTTTGTGGGCAAATTGTTTGAGTTCCCTATATAATCTAGATATTAATCCCTTTGTTTCTTTGCAGTGAGAAAACTTTTTAGCTTGATGTAATCCCACTTGTCTATTTTAAGGACTATTGCCTATGCTTTAGGGGCCTTATTTAATATCTTTGCTTACTCGAAATGTCTTCAAAAGTTCCTAATTTTCTACTAATAGTTTTGTAGTTACAGGATTTATGTTTAAAGCTTTGATCTATTTTGAGTTAATTTTAATTAATGGTGAGAAATAGGGGTTCAGTTTCATTTTTCTGCAGATAGATATCCAGTTCTTCCAACACCATTTGCTATAAAGACTTTCTTTTCTCTATTGCATTGTCTTGTGATCTTTATCAGAGATCAGTTGACTATATAATTTGGATTTTACTTCTGGATTCTCTATTCTGTTTCATTGACCTATGTATCTATTTTGGTACCAGTACCATGCTGTTTTGATCATGACTTCTTTGTAATATACTTTAAAGTTAGGTAGTGAGATGTCTCCTATTTCATTTTTTTGGTTCCGTATTAGCTTGGAAATACTAGGTCTTTTATGATTCCAGACAAATTTTGTAATTGTTTTTTCTACTTCTGTGAAGAATGTCTCAGGTAATTGAATCAGGATTGCATTGAATATGTAAATTAATTTAGGTAAGACTGACATTTTAATTATGATGATTCTTCCAATCCAAGAGCATTGGATATCCTTCCATTTTTTGGTATCATCCTCAATTTCTTTTTTCAGTTTTCATTTCTCTGATTAGATTGATTCTCAGCTATCTTATTCATTTTGTAACTATTGTAAATGGGATTGTTTTCTTCAGTTCTTTCTGTCTGCTCATTGTTGGCATATAAAAGTGCTATAGATTTTTGTATGTTTAGTTTTTTTTAGGCAGGGTCACTGTTATAATTCTCTTGTCTCAACTGCCCAGCTAGGACTACTGATGTGCACTAACACATAGTTGTTTTTAATGTGTATTTATTTTCATGAGCAAGCTGAGAGAGAGAGAGAGAGAGGCCTCCAATAGAGTCTTCACATTATGGTTCACCCCTGTCTTAACTGGTCCAAATTATGGGCACATGAATGTGTATCCCTGGTGTGACCAAGGAGACTCTCAGATGGGAAACTAGAACCTTTTCCATGAGGTCCAATTGTGTTGCCATTATGCTACCACCTGCCTATGGCTCCCCAGCTCTTTTCATACAGGGTCTTGCTAAGTCACTCAGGCCAAGCTTGAGCTCACTATCCTCCAATCTCAGCCTACGCAAATCATTAGGATTATAGGTACTTGTATACTTGTATAGGCACCTGCCCATCCTGTAAGTTGAACCAGGAACTGAACCTGGGCCTTCCATGTTGCTCTAGCCTAAGGAACACAGCATTGCAGCTGTAGGTGTCATGATGGCTGCATCCCAGGCATGCTTTCATAACATGCATTGATCACTTGGAAGACACTGTGCCATCTGATTATGCAGATATCCCAATGTTGACACATCTTGCTAAATAATATTGAAATATCTTAGTCATTAATATCTCCACTGATCTCCAGAAAATTCTTGGGCCATCTGCTGGTGTAGTGGTTAAGGTAGTTGGATCCTACATGTCAACTGTGTTTTGAGTCTCAGAACCAGTGGCTTAAAAGACATGCCAGGTGTGTGTGCATGAGAGCCCAAAATCTCAAAAGGAGGAAGAAATGAAGGAGAAAGGATTGTGGCATGACTATCCCCCTCAAAGATGAGGGGTGCTTTCTCTGACATTTACTATATGCATGCTTTAAAAAACTATGTGCTGTAAAGATGTACAATGATAAAATACAAATTTAAAATTAAATTAAATGAAATTTTAGAGAAAGAAATAAAGTCCTTCAAATATTGAGGAGCTATTAAGCTCAGGACAAATACAATTTCTCTAAAAGTTTTAACTTTGCTTGAAAGTTAAATGTTGTCATTGGCCACAAATACTATGTATGACCTGTTTTCCTTTGTTCCCTTATATTTGAAAATATACTTGCCACACATCCAAGTCTACATATCATAGTGGGTCAGACATTCTATAAAGTATAAATGACATTCCATGAAAAAGGTAGCTCTGTTTACAACTCTGGTCATTACCCAAATGTTTTTCCTTGAGATGTCCATGTCCATAGGATTATGAAATGTAGTGGAAAAGATTTATGCACAGCCCCCCTTATTCTCCATTCAGAATAATAAAATGGCATATAGTCAAAAGTTGTGATTTAGTCAAAACATACATTTTTTACTGCTTCATCAAGTATATTTTCAAATAACACTTAAAAAAATTTATTGTTGAGTTTATGGCAGTGAATGATAGAGTTTGGTACCACTACCTTGGTTCATGCTAAGGTGCTAGCATTGCTTTATTTCCTCAGCATTGCTGTTTTTATTTGTTTTTTTTTGTTTGTTTGTTTGTTTTTTCCATCAGAACAAATATCAACCCAGAAAAAAGCAAATGATATCTTACCATTATCATGAAAGTAGTTTCGACCTGAAAGGGTCTCTGGGACATCTGGGTTTCTGCAGATGACAATTTGAGAATCATTAGTCATACTTCCTAGAGATGTACTCTGTCACTAGGGTAAATTAAAAATTAAGTTGTGGGCCGACTTGTGGTATGGTGGTTAAGGTGACTAGATCCCATATGGCCAACTGTGCATTCAAGTCTCAGACCTGGCAGCTTTAGAAACACACTGAATGTATTTGCCCGAAATTCCTAAAAAAGAATGTAGGAGAAAGAACTGTGGCATGGCCATCCCCCTGGGAATATGCTTTCCCACTTTCTCTCTGGTCCTTTCTCTGTTTGTCTCCCTCTGAAAATTGCATACACTCTACAGAAAATTTTTGAGAAAGAAAAAAATTGAGAAGCTAGATACTCAAATAAATATGATCCCTACCAACAGAAAAAAAGTAGGGGGTATAGCTATTGGCCAACCAAAAGTGTTTGTTCATAATCCTAACTGGGTAGAAGTCTGTATACTAAACAAGGAAAGTGTTACCCTTCTAAGAATTCCTCGAGAGCCCTCAGAACCTGTACTGGTGACACTCCACCTCTAAGTGCTTTTAGGACTTCGAGCTGATGAGATACAGTGTTAATGAGACCAAAGTCCTTGATTTGAGCAACCAACCTTGAGCAAGATGTCATGTATAGACACAAGAATGTTAAGATATAATCCCAGTACAAATGGATCTTAACATTTATAGGGAAAGGCAAACAACATTCATTCACTCACTGAAGAAATGTTTGCCAAACACCAACGAACCTGGAGACACTGGAGTGGATGAGACATGGTCCAGCTATCACAGAACCATAGTCATGTTAAAGAAATGAGTATTGGGAACCAGCAGTTAGCGTAATGGCTATGTCGCTGGACTCCCACGTAGTCGACCGCGGTTCGCGTCCTGGACCCGGTGGCTTAAAACTCACGTCGGGCACATGTGCGTGCGTGCCCAAGATCCCGAGAGGAGAATGGAGGAAAAGGGACTGCGGCGTGGCCATCCCCCCTGGGGGGGTGCTTTCTCGCTTTCTGTCTCTATGTCTCTCTCTGTCTGTCTGGCGAGCGCACACGCCCTATAGCAAAAATCTCTCCAAAAAAAAATAAATAAGTATTCATTTAATATCTAACTCGAATTTTGGCAAAGACTTGAAAGAAAACACAAAGGTTCATCACGGTGTGCAGCAATGGTGTTCATTCTGGGAAGCAGGAGAAAACTTCCCTGAGGAAGTAACACTTGAACCTGGGGAGCAAGCCAAGTGAATAGTCAGGAAGAGAGTATTAGAGGAAAGAATAGCAGTTGCCAAGGTTCAAAGATTCAGAGATGGAAAGGAGTTCAGTATATTTGAGGAAGAAAGAGAGCAACATTTTGGGACAAAAAAGAGTGAGGACAGAGTGACTTACAATGAAAATGGAGGACTAGGCTGGGGCAGGATCGGGAAGAACTTACTTGGCCAGGTTAAGGGGTTTTAGCTTTGTCCTAAGGGATATGGAAAGCTATTAATTAAATCAATCATGAGAAAATAATGATAAGATTTTTATTTTTAAAAGATTCACTAGATTTAGGGTAGAAAATGTCCAGAAGAGATCCACAGCAACTGTGGGGAAATTGCAAAGAGGACTTCTGGACTGAGCTGCCTCGTAAGAAAACAGATCCAAACAGCTCCTTGCTCTGCTTGCCATGCTGCTGTTGTAAGTTGTGAGTGGAGCCAGCCACAGCCCCTGCAACAAGACTCAGAGACAAGAGGACATTGAAAAGCCATGAGCACCAACCAAAAATTATTAAATAGATTTCAGGGAAGCAGCACTCCCTGTCGGGCAATCAAAAGGAAACCAATCACCACCTTCTTTTCTTATGAAAATTAAATGTATATCATTGAATTGGTCAGAGAAGATTCCAAAGGAGAAGGTGGTCATAAAATCAGCAGTTATGACACATATGTTGAACACAAGACAACATACTCTTAAGTCAAGCTAGTGTAATAGGACAGTCATTTTTCCCCTCAAATAATGGTGATTCAATACCAAACCAGGATCAGAAAGCCAATTGCTGACCTGGCCCCCAAAATAAATGTCCCCTGCAGAGTTGACTCCCCTCAGGAGCAGGAAGAACTCAGTCATCTCATTGCAGAATGATTGCATAGCATCACCTCTACAATAACTTGGTTTTGTTGCCAGCAAATTTTATTCAAATGATTGGAATACTTTGAGTTCTGTTGGGATTCATTCACTTGCCTGCTCAACGAAAACTACAAACAGGTGAATTATCTAGTGATTTACTGAAATTAGACAAAATTTGGTGATACTCAAAAACATGTTCTGTAATTATCCAGAATGGGGTGATAATCATGGCAAATGCTGCAACTAAATTGTGGACACCAGGGCAGGACAGCACTGAAGAAGTTAGTAGGCTGCTGGGATCATACACATCTTGCTAAAATGAAAATCTACAATTAACCCTAAGCAAGTGGGCACTCTGTTCTACAGAAGTCTCTTGGTACAGGAAAGAGTTCTACCAGAGCTCCAAACCTCCAATGGGGAGTGACCACTGGGACAAATTCTTGTTGCTGACCTCAGAACAAAGCAATCATGATGTTCTCTGCTTTAGAAATGGTGATACACAACAGTGACAAAGCAAAGTGAATGGAAGAACCAACCGACACCGTGGCTCTACTAGTGGGTAAAACTAGCTCTGCTGCTCTATGTGGGAAAGGAACCATAGACACTTTAAACCAAGCTTTAGACCCACTGATGACCAGACTCATGGAAATTATTATAGCATTTCAGGCCAAAATAAGATGAAGAATAAAATCTGCTAAGCAAAGCAGGGCGTCCCATAGAGACAATGCCTGTTCATTACTAATAAACCATGTAATTTGTTTGTGTTGTATCTCCTGTGCATCTTAGTTCAAAAATAAAACCCCTAATAGAATAAATGCACTGCCTATAAATCTCAATGCATCCTGCATTATTAGTAAAACTTTTTTTAAAAATTCATAACTGATTAAGTCATAAACTTTTTTGATGAATAAGACCCCACATACCAAGTGGTGAAATACTATGAGATCTGGTAAAAGAATAAACCTGTTGAATAAATCTGCTATGCAAAAATTTATCTCAATGCTATGTATAATGAAACTCTCCTTAAACAAAAACCTGATAAAAACAATAAAACTGCTCAACGATTAGATTTGCTGCACTCCAGGGCCATATTTCTCACCTGTTTTTGGAGCTGCCAGACAACACAACCTGTATAACCTCCATAGTCCTTTTTCTACCAATTTTTGTTATTTTGTTTTAATCATTTCTATACTCAACAAAAAAGTAAAGAATTTCCCATAGACACAGCACAGAATGTTATTAAATTACTGCCCCTGACAATGTTAATGGGGACAAAGTTTATATTTTCTCCAATTTAGA